TTAAGTGCATTTGGAGGGTGGGGCATGGCAGGCATCTCATCAGATTGTCAGAGGGGTTCATCATCCCCAAAAGGTCAAGAACCACTACTAATCTCTGTCCTCCAAGTCCTCCTCTACCCTGTCAATATAGTCCATCTAAAATGTAAATATGAATTCAATTTTTCTTTGCTTAAAATCTTTTAATGACCTTCAGAGGCCAGTGTGAACTCCCTCCAGCTGCCGTATAAGGTCTTTCCTATGTATAATACCCATCTCTTACTTCTTGTTTTCCTAAAAACTGTGGTAGATGATGCTACATGCTTTCACCCCCTCATCCCACCCCATGTCTCCACATGTGTTGTTCCCTTTGCCCAGAAGGTCCATCCTTCTTAGCTGGCCTATCAATCTTCAACTCATCCATAAGACTCAATTCAAAGTCACTTACCCTGTGACACATCCCAGACAGCAGCCTGCTCTCAGAAACAGCTCACCACTACCTCTATCAGCGCTGCCTACATCCTCTGTGCAGCTATCTTTGCACTTACCACTCGGTTCTGTGATTCCTTGTTCATAGGTCCATCTTCTTACTTGACTAGGAGTACCGCTCAGGGGCTAAACCATGTATGTTCATTTATACATTCCCAGCATCTGGCCCAGTGCCTGACACTCAGTAAATGCATGCTGAATTATAAGTACATGGAATTAATAAGCATTTACAACTGTACAGCTCTTTATAATTCATACATCTTATATTTTTCTCTTGATCTTCACAACAGTACTGAAAAGGTAGACAGGAATGTCTTCCTGAGGGTTGAGGAGGTTCAATGAAATATTTATCAGAAATTTAGTGAACTCAATGGACTTTGACAATGACTCTATGCTCCAAAAGAGAAGGACTGACCAGCCATCATGACCTGTGATTTTCTTGTGATGCTTAGACAGAGATAAGGGAAATGTGCCTCTTGTTACCCTCTCCTCACACATCCCCACAAGTCCAGTAACTTCCCACAAAAAAGTCAATCCAATCCAAAGAAAAGAGAACCCCAGGATTCTAATATTTCTGTCTATTTCATCAATGAGAATGACCCAGAGCTGGGCATGGTGCCTTGCTCACAGCAGGCAGGCAATGAACAGCTGAAGGGAAGAAAGAAATGAGGTATCTTTATAGAAAAAGGGTTAAAAAGAACTAAAGATTTAGGTTGAAAAGGAATGAGAGAAGAGCCCTGACACAATTCTTGAAGACTGCCATTATCCAGATCCCAGAGCTAGAAAGCAGAGCACATGAAGTTGGAGACCAGTGCAAATCCAAACTGATATCACAGAAAATAAGAGGAACTGCCAAACTGTGGCAGACAGAGGTAGTCTGGAATTTTATTAAAAGGAAAGAAAGAAAAGAAAAGAAGGAAGTAAAGAAGGGAGAGAGAGAGAGAGAGAAGGGTAGATCTTGCAAGCTATAGACAGGTGAGTTTATCAATGATTCTTGACAAAATTCTGGAATGTATTTTTTTTTATGATCTTGAAACTTTACTTAGTTATATATTATATTCCCTGTTTGAGATTAGAATGTATCTTTTATTAGCAGTTTTTAACACTTAGGTGATTACTGGCATCAGGATAGGTTCTCTAAGAACAAGACATTACATGCCAGAATAACCTAATTTCCTTTGGAGCCACATCAATGTTTACAGCAGCACAATTCATAGTAGCTAAATTGTGAAACCAACCTAGATGCCCTTTAGTAGATGAGTGGATAAAGAAAATGTGGTATATATACACAATGGAATATTATTCAGCATTAAAAGAGAATAAAATCATGGCATTTAGGTGGAGAATATTATGCTCCAAAAGAGAAGGACTGACCAGCCATCATGACCTGTGATTTTCTTGTGATGCTTAGACAGAGATAAGGGAAATGTGCCTCTTGTTCTACTTTACCCTCTCCTCACACATCCCCACAAGTCCAGTAACATCCCCCCAAAAAACAAATGCCAAATGTTTTCTCTGATATGTGGATGTTGATCCATAACGGGGATGGAGAGCAGAGCATGGGAGGAATAGAGGAACTTTAGATAGGGTAAAGGGAAAGGGAGGGGGGATGGGGATAGAATAGATGGTGGAATGAGATGGACATCATTACCCTAAGTACATGTATGAAGACACTAATGGTATGACTGTGACTCTACTTTGTGTAGAGACATGAAAAACTGTGCTCTATATGTATACTATGAATTGAAATGCATTCTGCTATCACGTATAACGAATTAGAATAAATAATTTTTTAAAAAAAGAAACGCTTATTTGGGTAAAAAAATAAGACAAATGCTAGACATATTTTTATTTTAGCAAGAAATCTGAGAAAATCTCTTATAATTTCATGACAAAATGGAGGGACAGAGAATGGAAAAGAATTACAGCTGTGAATGTAGAATAACACATCAAAATTGTCGTGAATGTGTGTTCTAGGACTCTAGTAGTTAATAGCCTTCATAAACATTTTAATCTGAAAAAGTACATAATGGCAGAGATCTTGTTTAACTTGTCAACATCTAAAACAGTGCCAGTACACAGACATACGATCAATAAATGGTTTTGAATAAAAAAATCCACAGAGAGCCTATTCACTAAATTTGCAGAGCTACAAAATTTGAGTTAATATTTTCGTCTGTATTTCATGAGGAAAATGATAGCCTTTGCTAATATTTTTGTTGACTGTCTACCTACCTTATATAGGCTGGCTGGAATAAGAGCTAAAAAGAATGCAGAGTTAGACTAAAGGGAAAAATACATACAAAGAAAAGAAAATGTTATAAGAAAAGCAAAGAAAAGATCAGATCTAGAACAGGGTTGGAAACTATTGCTTATGGGCCAAATCCTGCCTGCTGCCTATTTTTGTAAATAAAGATTTATTGAAACACACACAATGCCCTTTAGTTTGTACACTGTGCATGTTTTCTCCTGTCTTAAATGGCTGAGCTGAGAAGTCACAACCAAGACCAACTGGTCAACAAAGCTTAAAATGTTTACTATTTGACTCTTTCCAGAAATAATATGTTGAATATGAGCATAACTTTGGAGAGAAATATTAGAATACAAAGCTACAAAATCTGCAGGTTGTGGAAACCAATGTGACAGCAGAAGTTGGACTGATAGACTCATAGCCCTAAGATTCTGTGAAATAAAAAATTTCCTGGCCCGGCATGATGGTACATTCCTGCAGCTCAGGAGGCTGAGGAGGGAGGATTGCAAGTTCAAAGCCATCCTGTCTCAAAATAAAAAATTAAATGAGCTGGGGATGTAGCTCAGTGGTAGAGTGCTTGCCTTGCATCCACAAGGCTATGGGTTCGATCCCTGGTACAACAACAACAACAACAGCAGCAGCAGCAGCAAAAATTCCTGAACACTGCTAGAATCCTAAGAGCAAATAAGAAGGTACTCAAAGAATCCCCTCCCTCCTTCCTGGTTCTGCCTTCTCACAAATGTTCCTCATTGATTTTTGGTGCGAGCACCTGAACAGAAAAAAGACAGATCTTGCAGGTGAAGAGGTTGGGGGAGTGCTAGGTTTGAGTGAGGAAAAGTTCAGCCCATAAGTTGAGTCTCCACATATTAGGCAACAAATATAGGGCTAGTTTGGTACTCCCAAAATTCTCCTGTTTGAAACATAAAATGAATATAATTCCTCCAGCTCAGTGGAAAATCCAAGGAGGCACAAGTCACGGCCTGCACATGGAACTGTCAGATGGAGAGGAGAGAGCAGTAAAGTAACCATAGAACAGGCCAAGATTTAGGGAACATTCAAAAAAGCAGCTGAGGGCAGGCTGTGATTATTGACTATAACAGGGAAGTCTTGTGGAAGATGTCACTTCTGCACTGAAACCTTGACAGAAAGACCAGGTTTAGAGAAATAGACAGGGAGAGAGATGGGGAAGGATGAATTCACATTTCACATGGGCAGCAGTGCCCTGATGTTCTTGGACACTCCATGCCACTGACTTGAGAAACTTTCAGGAGCAGTAGTAACTTTCCTGCTGTGGGCCACACATACCCATGTCAGTCTGATGGTCTCACTGACAGCTCTGGGGTCTGAATGCATTGCTCTCCTTGTCTAACTCTCCCCCAGGGTTCAGGTTGACCCTCAGTCAGCCAGCAAGGATGTCTGTTCTCCTGATATCACTGCCAAATCTAAAGCAGCCCCTGCTGCGCTGCTCTACTCCTGGAAGTTTCAAAGGAATCTCAGTCTCTCTGAAAGAGCCAGAACAATTGGCAGGAAGCGGGGACAGTCTGCACAACCAAAAACTCAAATGTAAAACACTCATTTTTGTCTGCAGCCAAAGCAACCTATCTTCTCAACTCCATTTTGTGCAATGTGGACTGACATGCCTAGGTGCCTTCCAACATATAGGTGACCAAGTCCTGGCACATCACCTCTTCTGTTCCAACTATCACCCACACAACATCCCAGAAGAGGCACTCACAATGACCCCATTTTATAAGCACAGACATTAAGGCACAAAGAAGGTTCACTATTTTTCCTAGATTACACAGTAAAGCAAGGGGCCAATCCCAGAACCGGGATTGTACATATCGAAAAAGAATTATTCAGTTCAGTATTTAGGGACTTCTGAGGTTGAGGAAACCAATAAGCCTGTTTTCTAGTTCTTGGGCAGGATAAGTCTGCAGGAAGTAAAAGATGAGCAAATATATAGTTCATGAAGTTATTTAAATCTGCTCTACTGTCCACTCTTCTCAGGCTGCCCAGTTGAGGCACTTTCAGAAGAACAACAGGTGAAATGTGCCACAATTAGGTGATGAACTCAGGCTTCTGTTTCCTTTTCCAATCTTTTGAGGTGATTAAATTCCAGAGCCAGAGGAACTGTGAAGGGCATGTATTCCAAGTCCTTTGAGATATCCATGGGTTCCCAGAGATAAGGGACTTGCAGAGTTGCTGGTAGTGCTGGCACAAAGCAAGATTGGTGGAAGCCATGGGAGAGAGCTCCCAGAGCAACAAGGTAGCCCATGCTTACCTTCCAAAGAATGGATTCCTTGGTCCTTGGCAGTCTTGTAAACACTGCTGAAATCATCTCCAAGATTTGGGTCAGCCCCAGCAGCAAGCAGGACCTGCACCACACTGGAAGAAACCAGAAAGACAGAAGTATCAAAAGCAGTAAAGGCTCACGAGGCAGACTCAGATCTGGAAGCATGTTTGGGGACTAAGTCTGTCTCTGCTCATGTGAGTGGTACAGAGGAAAGAACACAACTCTGGGAGTATAAAAGACAATGCAGGAAAATAGGTTTTGAAACTTATCGGTAAGAGGTTTAGGACAAATTACTCAACACCTTCCTAAGGCCCAATTTCCATAAGTATGGGTTACGAACTTATTCATTCAATAAATACTTATCAAATGCCTACTATGTCTTAGTCACTATCCTAGATGCTGGGGTCCATGCTCATATGAGGCTGACAGTCTGCTGGGAAGAAAATTGCAAAGCATAAAATTAAAGTTAAGTGTGATAAAGATTGTGATGGGAGAAATACTATGTGCAGAAAAGGGGGAAAGGGGGGGGGGAATCAAGGAAGGCCTCCAAGCAGAATGTCACCAAGAGAGCAGAACAGGGATTTCCAGCGCTTGCTGCATGCCCCCCCCCCCCATCAATTTGAACTAAACTATTATCCATCTGTGAAAATAGATTTCACAGAAGATGAAAAAAAACAGGTGAAATATTACAGCACCTAAGTATAGCAGAAAAATAAGAAACACACTGAAGGTAGGAAGATCAGTTTTACTTTATTCCTGTCACCCACTCCCAAATTGAGGCAGCACAGAATGGAGATATATCTTTCATGTGTGGGAAGGAAAGGAAACTGAGAACTCGTCATTACCTTGAACCCTGAAACCACTCCCTCTACTGTGAAATTCAGTACCATACAGTCCCCATGGCTCCAGACTCCAAGGCCAATACCTTAGGAAAAGTCTTCACGCCCCGATGCCAAGCCAAGTAACACAGTCCCAGGCTCTAAGTCCGTCCTGCTACAGACAGGGTTTGACCTATGTATGGCCAAGCCAACCTTAGCAGCCCCAGGCTTCAGAGCAGCCCCAGCACCAGGACAGCTCCCACAGACTCAAGCACTAGGCCCACCTTGCAGATTCATTATCCAGGATTGAGCTGGACCCCAAGAACTTGGACTTCTGGCCTGCTCTAGCACCCTTAGAGCCTTAGTCATCAGGTGGGCAGCGTGAGACCCACACTCCATGCTTTCTTAGTACAAGGATAGCCTCTGCAGCTCCAGGCTCCAGCCTAGCCCAGAGCCAGGCTGGTTCATACAGCCAAAAGCTTCAGGCCTATCTCAGTACCAGTAAACATAAGTACCAAGCTTTCCCAATCTCAGTCTGGTCCCTACAGCCCCACACTCCAGGCTGGTCTCTGAAGCCCCACACTCCAGCAGATCCAGAATGCAGACCTAGCACTAGCCTAGCCCCAACAGATCCAGGTTCTAGGACTACCCTTGTGGACCTAGGTTCCTGGACCTAGGTTCCCCTAAAGTCCCAGGACCTAGATCAGTCTTCACAGACCTAGCCTCTAGGGTAGCACCTGCACACCCAGGCTCCAGAACAACATCCATGATTCCAGGCTTTAAAACAGACTCAGTAGACCCAGACTCTATACTTTTCCAGCACCATACCAATCCTAGATTATAAGCTGTTCCCCATGGACCTAGACTCCAGTGGATCCAAGTCTAGGCCTGCTCTAGGACAAACCCTTTAGATTCCAGGAACCAGGCTGAATCCCATGGACTCAGACCCTGTGGATCCAGGTGCCAGGTTCATTCCAGTGGCAGGCCAGCCCTTGCAGATTTAGGCTCCAGATCCACCCCAGTACAAGGTCAGTCCTTGTGGACCCAGGTTTTCAGGCTAGGCCATGTAGATAGAGGCTCCAGGCCCAACCAGCTGACCTTGGTGTCAGGCCTACACACTTACTCAGGCCCCATGTCACCCTGCCTGAGGGCTCCAACAACAAGCCCACCATAGACTGCACAGGATGGCCTGCCCAGAATCTCTGGAAGAGTTGACCGGAGAAGGGCTTTTACAGAAAAAGCCAGTCTTTAAGATTGAAATTACTCCTTACATCTTTCAAATGTACAGCCAGCAGGTTGAGGCTGCAAACTCAGTGATATAGTGCTTGCTTTGCATGTGTGAGGCACTGGGTTAGATCCTCAGCACCACATAAAAATAAATAAATAAATAAAGCAAAGGTATTTTAAAAAATGTGCAGCCACCAATTCATGGCCATAAGGATCAGGAACAATCAGGAAAATGTGACCATCACCAAACAACAAAATAAAGGAACAGTAAGTAATCCTACAGGAGTAGAGATTCATGATCTGCCTGGCAAAGAATTTAAAATAAATATTTTAGGAACCTCAACAAAAATCAAGAAGGTAGAATGTATTTTCTCTTCTAAACTTGTTAATTCTGTTCAGAGAAGCAAACCAGTGAAATAGAAAATGATCAAAATAAAAAATGTCACTCACATTGAAATTCTAAATAGCCAAATCTGGAGCTGAAAAATACAATGAATAGAATGAAATGGAAAATGCAACACAGGGCACCAGCAACAAAATGGATCAAGCACAAGAAAGAATCTATTAGCTTAAAAAAGAGAAAAAAGAAAGGATGAAGAAAGTTTACAGAATTTATGGGAAGGCATCAAAAGAGCCAAATTATAATAGTTCAAGAAGGAGAAAAAATAGACAAAGTGGGTAGAAAGCCCATTTAAAGAAATAACAGGACTAGGGATGTAGCTCAGTGGAAGAGCACTTGCCTACCAAGTGCGAAGCCCTGGGTCAATCCTAACACTGAAATTAAGAATTAAAAAAGGCAAAGACAGGATCTTGAAAGCAGTAAGAGAAGAGGCAGTATACAATAAGGCTAACAGCAGAGTTTTTGGCCAAATCCTTGCAGGTCACAAGAACAGTGGTGAAGTAAAAGTAAAAGAAAACAAACAAACAAACAAACAAAAAAACCCATGAAGGCCATGAAACTTCCTTCAAAGAAAAAACTGTCAATGAAAAATACCATACTCAGCAAAGCTGTCCTTAAGATATGAAGGTGAGTTAAAGATTTTTTCAGACAAACAAAAGCTGATTTAGTATGTCATCACCTGACCTGTCTTATAAGAAATGCTAAATTCTTATTCAAATTGAATTGAATTCAAATTGAAAAAGAAAAATGCTAATAAGTAACACAAAAACATATAAGGTATAAAACTCATTGGTAAAAATAAGTATACAAATTCAAAGTAATACTGCAATGGTGATGTTTAAATTATTAATATTTTTAGTATGAAAGTTAAAAGACAAACTATTAAAAAAACAATTATAAATTTAAGGGATACACAATATAAAAAGATGTCAATTGCAACATCAAAACCAAAATGTATGCGGGGATGTGTGGGATAAAAGCTCAGGGTTTTTGTATATGATCAAAGTTAAGTTGTAATCAGCTATAAACAGCCTGTTACGAAAAGCCTAATGGTAACCACAGAGCAAAAACCTATAGTAGATACAAAAAAGATAGAAAATATTAAAGAAAATCACACAATCACAAAAAATACAGCAAGAGACGAAGAAAGGCACAAAGATCTACAAAACAACCAGGAAAAAGAAAAAAAAGAAAAGAAAACCAAGTAGCAGGTAAGTCTTTACCTATCATGAATTATCTTCAATGTAGATAGATCAAATTCTCCAATCGAAAGACAAAGAGTGACTAAATAGATTAAAAAACAAAACCTAAGCATATGATGTCTACAAGAGACTTACTTCACCTGAGGAAAACACAGAGTGAAGGTGTGAGGGATGTAAAAAGATAGTTCATGCAAATAGAAATCAGAAGATAGCAGGAACAGCTGTTTATAACAGATAAAATGCATTTTAAGCTGAAATCTGTAAAAAGAGGCAAAGAAAGTTATTATATAATGATAAAGGGGTCAGTTAATCAAAAGATTTAACCATTATAAATACATATGCACCCAACATCAAAGACCTGTGTAATAAAACAACTATTAACAGATCTAAAGGGAGAGATAAACTATAATATAATAATAGGAGGGGACTTAAAATACCTCACTTTTAGCCACTGATAGATCATCATTGAGATAATCAATATAAAAACACTGAATTTAAACGACACTTTATACCAAATAGACCTAACAAAGTACACCGAACATTCCATCTAATAGTAACAGGATACACACTGTTCTAAAAGTGCACACAGAACATTCTCTAGGCTTAAATCAAACCAAGTATCTTTGTGGATACAGACCAAGGAGAAGGATAGTTGGGCCAAATGGTGGTTCCATTCCCAATCTTCGAAGGAATCTCCATACTGCTTTCCATATTGGCTGCATCAATTTGCAGTCCTACCAGCAGTGTATGAGTCTACCTTTTTCCCCACATCCTCGCCAATACTTATTGTTGTCTGTATTCTTATAGCGGCCGTTCTGACTAGAGTGAGATGAAATCTTAAAGTAGTTTTGATTTGCATTTCTCTAAGTGCTAGTGATAGTGAACATTTTTTCATATATTTGTTGATTGATTACATATCATCTTCTGAGAAGTGTCTGTTCAGGTCCATGGCCCATTTATTGGTTGGGTTATTTGTTTTTTTGGTGTTTAGCTTTTTGAGTTCTTTACATACCCTAGAGATGAGTGCTCTATCTGATGTGTGAGGGGTAAAAATTTGCTCCCAAGATGTAGGCTCTCTATTTACCTCAGAGATGTTTTTTTTTTTTGCTGAAAAGAAACTTTTTAGTTTAAATCTATCCAATTTATTGATTATTGATTTTAATTCTTGCACTATAGGAGTCTTATTAAGGAAGTTGGGGCCTAATCCAACATGATGGAGATTAGGGCATACTTTTTAAACAGCATACTACAGGGACACAGCCACATCAATGTGTATAACAGCACAATTCACAATAGCTAAATTGTGGAACCAACCTAGATGCCCTTTAATAGATGAATGGATAAAAAAAAATGTGGCATATATACACAATGGAATATTACTCAGCAATAAAAGAGAATAAAATAATAGCATCTGCAGGTAAATGGATGGAGTTAGAGAAGATAAT